GTTCTTGCTTATCCTCTCAGTTGTTGTATCATCCGGTGTCAGTGAAATGTGCAAAAGCCCAGCGCGCTGCGCTGGAAGTAATATTATTGTTCCCGAATGATTCAATTAATTGGGGGGAGGGATTGTGCCTAATCATTCCATCCGCGTTGCTTTTCCCTCATCCAGCAGCAAACAGTTATTAATTTGGCGAAATGCTTGTGCCGAATGGATCCACAGTGCTGCCTGCATCCGTGCACCACCAGTTGGCGACTGCACCTGATCTTAAAAAGTTGAGCAAAGCGGAACGACGGAAACGACGCCGTGCAACACCGAAATACCGCAATCTTCATGCCAGCCGAGAACGGTGATTTTTGTTCTTTTCTGGCCGCTCTGGGATGGATCTATGACCCTACTTTGCCCTGCATAATGCTAGTTTCCATGTAATGCCGCTGAACAGTCGCTCAACTTTGTGTTCCTCTCCACGTTGAGCCAAAAACGCCAAACAAACTGCGCATGTTAACACTTCAGGCCCTCGTGCTCTTCCTGTTCCCTAGCCAGAGATATTTACTGTTTGCATCCTTAAAATTTCTGAAACATTTCACATTTTAATCAGCTACACTTCACAGGGTGTTTTTTCAAACGTGCATTAGTTTCATGCACTTTGCCTCCCCTTTCCCCTTCTAAGCTTCATGCTCCTCTCCTCCCTTCAGTCTTCGTTCTCCCCCTTCCCTCGCCCGCTTCCTTTGTCCCGTTTGTTTCAAGGGGATGAAAGCGATGTGAAGCCAAACTGGAGCCTTGTAATTTTACCATAGTGTGGTACTCGACTCGATTGTCAGAATGGTGCAAATTATGTGTCGAGGTGATTGTTAATTAGGTATTCAGTGGTTGCAGCATTCGCGTGGAATCATTCAACAATGCATTCGCGAAGCTTCGTGCTCTGTTGCCCACACTACCGGTCAACAAGAAGCTCTCAAAGATCGAGATTTTACGCCTCTCAATCTCCTACATTTCATATTTGGAAAATTTGCTAAGATTTTAAACCGGTAGATCCAAAAACCATGTGTAATGTCTGGATTATAAAAAGTTTCTTCCGTCGCAGAGAATGGAAATGCATGCAGTCGTTGACACACTGATTCGGTTTGCTGATAACCGACTGACATCGTGTAACTATAAATGGTACCAGTGCTGATGAGCCCCTTGATAACCGGCTGATAGTTTGTATCAGTAATGAGTGGTGCAAATGTTAGTTACCTTGCTGATAAAACTGGTTTTATGTTGTGTTGATCGGTGAATGGTACCCACAGGCGGATCCAGGACGGACTCGTGGAAGGGGGCGATGATGGGAAAGGAGAGCTCCTGAGGGAGGGGCGGCAACAGGGGCTAGGAGGGGGCGTCCCCTTCCACTCTGGAACTGTGCAAAAATCACGAATACAGTTGTAACAGTGCTACTTAGGGTTACTTTAGTTTAACGTTACCTTAGGCCTTAGTTTCTCTAGTTTTGGCTTTAGACCCGAGCTTCTGCAGCACTAGTGCTTGTGCCGCTGAGTGTCGGCGAAAGACCTACTCCCGTGGATATGCCTATGGTGGTATCAGTGTTGCGACCACCTTGTTGACAACCG